TTATCTAGAAATAGATTTTTGAAACACCTAATACATTTTTTTTTTATATAAGTAATTTTGTTTAGGACTTCCATTGCTTTCATATCATGTAAGTATAATTAAGAAATATATAGGCAGAAAAGGCTTTTCGACGTAGACCTTTCCATGTAGGTACATACTTTCAGTGAGGTACAAACAACAAAGCAAAGCACAAAAGTTGAAACAATGAAAAGAAAGATCAAAGTTATACTGGTCAATGAAATAAAACAAGTAATTTAAAAAGGTTCGAAATGTGACGACGATCTTTAGTACTTCATAAAATGCTGCCTATAAGTATTCGTAGGATGTAAATGTGCATACTCGTATTTAATTGTAAAATAGAGATCCAATGTAATGTTAACAGCCCCAGACCTAAATCTCATGATTATCTTTTAATATTTATATAAACAAGATACAATAATGAGCCCTGTGGAAAGCGCATAGTGTCCAGAGACCCTAGGGATCTCAGTCCATTCATTCCACTCTCTAGATCCTATTACCCGAGTAAGAGATAAGAAAATCCAAAGCAGTATTCCTAATTCCATAGCGATGCAATTTCCTGAAAAACTAAACAGTCGAATGCCTTAGATAAATCACTAAAAAAAACACCCAGCGCATCTTGTTTATCCTCCCAGGCACTAAATATATGTATTTTCCAGAAGTTCAACACCAGCATCACTTGTCGAGCGACCTCTTCAGAAGCCAAACTGTTTCCTGTGTAGAATTTTGTTTGCACTTAAGTAGGTTTGTAGCTGATCTAGCATAATTTTCTTAAAAAAATACTGAAAGTAGGTAACACTGAAATTTGTCTATAATTTGTAGAATCAGATGTGCTACATGTCTTGAAAAAAGGAATGATCTTACTATGTTTAATTAAATCGGGAAATACACCACATTCAATGCACTTAATGAAAATTAAGGTCAACTCTGATGTACTGATAAACCAATATATTATTATTGTTCATCAATCATCATCAACAGCCTATACTAGTCCACTGCTGGACATAGGCCTCTCCTTAGAAAGGAGGTTATATTATTGTTAATCATGAAAAATGCCAAACATTATACATTTGTCCATGTTTTTTTAAGTTATTTATCTTAAACGCTTCAGAGAGGGGCACTATTTTTACGTTTCTGCCCCAGTTCGAAAAAGTCGTAGGGGCTTAATGCTAAAAGCTATAAGGAAGTTTTAAAAGTTTAACATACATAAATGTTAGAAAATAGTTTTAAAAAAATTAAACCATAATTTAGTTTTTAGATTTCGTCCATTCTATATTGTCATTAACATGATGGCGACAAAAAATAAACTTGTGTCAGTTTATTCAAATTCTTTTTCTAATTTGAAAATACGTTTTGAAAATACTAATAGCTTTGGTAAAACAATTATCACTCATCAGTTCACTGCTTACTTTTGTTCTAAGTATATCCTTTTTCACGCTCCTGATATATCCGCCAAATTCTATGCATGATACTTTCTTCGCTACATTTTCGTCATCTCTACGCATCGCTTTTCATCGCTACTTTCAGGCGTGTGTGTGTGAACACTACATATCCATCATAAAATTAGCATTTAATCTACATGTATCTCTCTCATCCGTTGTCTCCTTTGGAGTGAGATAGTTTCGAATACACAATAAAAGTCCGTGAATATGGTTGAGGTTGAGGCTTAAGATGTACAATATAATCCCTACTAATCAATACTCCCATACTTGTGTTATAATGTGAAAGTAAGTTTGTTTGTTACGCTTTCACGCCTAATCCACTAAACCGATTTGAAAAATTCTTTCACCACCACCAAAACTACACTATTAGCAAGTATCATAGGCTACTTTTTGCCGCGATAACCGACCAACACTCGGGGGGAGCCGCGGGTAAAAGGTAGTCTGTTATAAAGATCTTTTGTGTTGGAAGATAATAAGTGCATCTTTCAAATAATATTTTGCACAAAATGCTCTTTATAAACGAAATAGCATTGTATCTTATGTACATGATAATTGATTGCAAAAAAGTCGTTAATGAAAAGGTGTGAATGAAGAAAGGTCATGTAATGTTGGTGTTGGTCTCTGTTCTCACCCACCTGCGAATGTTTTGATGTTGTATTTTTCTTCGCATACCAGAAATTTCGAAACCTAATTATCGTCTGACTAGGTGGCGGTCTAGATTTGGCCTTCTTTTTACTTAAAGCGGTTTTAATGTAAAATGTTTACAATCGGCTATAAGACGTGGTGAAAGTACATGCCTAACACTTTTTGCATGGACTGGCTCATTTTTAACGTACACTAGTTTGTTGTATGTATTTAAATGAAAACGATTCCTTTCTTTTTTTTTTACAGCCGGCAGTTCTACACTTGACAATAGGTCTCTCCTTAAAAAGAAGGTTTTAGCCTACTATACCAGTCGTTTTGGTATAGGGGGCTAAATAGTTCTGTTGTCCTGCGTCGTTTGCTGCCTTAGTGGGCTCTTACGATACCCATGAGATGAATAGGGGTGGTGATACTCCGTATTCTCAATCCGTCACCACACAGAATAGTAAAATGCATTTAACTTAAATAATTTATATAATTTTTTTAAGTTATTAGTAGTTATTTTCAGTTATACTGTAGCACTCCCTTGAGGATTTTTCTCAGCAGTGGTTTATTTTCAGGTGGAATTTTACATAAAATATAAATGAACTAAAAGACTTATATGGAAATAGAATCTTTACAATTAATTGATATACTCACTTTATGTATCGATGGAGCTTCGATCATCAACCGACAACGCGCTTGTGACTCCTGAGTTGCAGGCGTTCATGGGCGGCGGTAGCCACTTATTAGGTGACAAATTTGCTCGTTTGCCCCCTCTTCTATAAAAAAAAACCCTTCTGGGTTGATGTCCAAACTTCAAAATCAATTCTTTTCATCGTTCCATTCTATAAATGTCATATTTTGAATATTAAATGAAATTCTTTTCACATATCACTACCTCACCTCATTCATACCAAAGAAAGGTTGACATGCTACAATATACTACTCATCATTTGGACACAGAAGACCGGCTACCGAATTTATAAAAAAAAAACTCTTGTCAACAAATCGATGAGTTCTGTAATGTGAGCACTCCAAGAAACCGGTAATAACGGTATGATTCGGTTTAATATTGAGTGTCATTCGATAATGTAGACACATTCGTTTTTTACGGCTATTAAAGAAACAATATTCTACTGAACACATCTCGCTAAAGACGGTATTATGTTGCACTTTATTATCTAAATTTTGCCCGTTTATGCAACTTTTTTATAAATGTACGGCTCACATTGGTCGTAGAGTGATGTTTTATACCCTATAGCCTTCCCTGATAAAAGGGCTATCCAACACGAAAAGATTTGTTCAATTCGAAATAGTAGTGCTTGAGATAAGTGCGTTCAACCAAACAAACAATCTGTTCGGCTTTATAATATTATATTAGTATAGATATACATATATACTTATACGTAAAAATGGACGTAGTCCGTTTTAAGAGTAAATTAATATTTGTTAACGTAATTCTTAAATTCTTTCTCTAGGATTTCATATCCTTTGTCTCCGTGATAATCTTCACGAGCTTTCCTGGAAAGGTAATGGACCTCAATGTATACGTGGGATGAAAAGGAACACCCAAATACTCCGAAATATCTTAATCCGAATTTCATAATACCTGAAAATTATAATGTCTATTATTAAAATTCACGAAATGTATTTTACCGAAAGTCGTAAATGCGATTTGTTTGCTTTCCGATTTTCTATACGTTCAAAGAATCAAAAGCTCGATGGGTTCTCGCTCCGAAAAATGATATTCCGATTTTCAATAATTTGAATTAATTGCTAAAATTACGATTCTAATTATGATTCAGTTAGTATAATATTTAGTTACACACATATACATTCAAAATCTATAAGTAACGTTTAATGTAATTTAAAGACGTCTACTTTGTTACTGCTACTGTGTTTTCTTCTTCTCCTTATATCTGCATCGCGTATCATCTACTGTTGGGTTAGGTTAGAACAGTGGCGATTAACGCCAGATCCGGTCTATTGTTGGTGACTGGTGAATTTTAGGTGTTTCGAATTATCATTAAGTCGGACTTTTTGTTATTCGATTTATTGAAACTCGGTATTTTGAGCATAGTAATTATAAACGTTAGGAATATAGAAATTTTTGAATGATAAAAATAGGATAATTGATAAATCGAAGTTATTATTATATTCGGCATTTGGAACCATTCGAAATTATGAAAATCTTTATTTTATACTGACGGAATAAAGTTTTTCGTATTTCTGTAGTCTACCCGTAATGAAAACTATGAACCATCATATCATACTCTTTTAGTTATGAATTGAGTATGTTGTTAAATACTATTTTATAGATTCATTTCGTTAATCAAACCCGTTCAACACATTATTTAGTAAGACATACCAATTCTTTGCTCGAATTGGGGTCGCCCAACTGGTTCCCAATCTTCAAAAAACAACCTAGTTTTTGGTATGAAGTATCAGGGAACTGTCAATAATTTATCAGCCACATATAAATAAGGGGATAAATACATTTAATTTTATCTAGTTACATAGGTAATTGTTTTGAAAACAATATGTTCGAGTCGCTGAAAATATGTAGAGCATAACTAAAATATATTAATATTTCTGTTAATGAGCTGGTTATTAAAATATACGTAACATTTTTGTCAAATAATAGAAAGTGAAATGTGAGAAATACTAGAAGAACTGTGAACTTCAATGTTTCATTAACACAAAAAACCGCATCTGCAAAAATACATAGAAAACCATGCCGCGGTCAACGCATCTTGCAGTGGAGAGGGTCTCGCCGATACACCATTGTCCCCGCTGAGGCAGAACGCGGCGGACGTTTGTTGCCTGATTAAAAAAAGTTGTCAACTTGTCAAATTCGAAATAAGAATCTTATCGTCCTATTTATATTTTGGATTTTTTATTTAGTATAATTTCAAAATGGCGATATATAAAGTGTTACTATTATTATTTGCCGCTGTGACAGCATCGAGCGCTTCAAGTACACGTAAGTAGATAGAAGAAAGTAGACGGACGAGTGTTGTTACTATTTGTGTCGTTTAATTTACTGTCCCTAAACAATGCAATGATATCAGCAAATCACAAAACGGGTTGTAAGGGACGGCATGATTGGTTTCAACAAGGTTTAATAGATATGTGTGGTGATTGAAAGTCAGGAAACAATTTTAGGGATAAAAATGTATGTTAGTATAATATATTAGAACATGTATTCGGCCTCATAGCAGATGACTTTATTTTATCTAGTTTTTTTTTTTATCGAAGTAGTGTTTACGTAAGTAGTAAGTTTTTAACTGATGTATAAATAATAAGGCTTTTTTTTTCCTTCTAAAAAAGTATAAAAAGAAAACATTTTTTCTAAATTAAATTACAAATATGGTCAATCTGTTAACACTACGCAAAGGAAAACTTCAAACAGACTTGTTGAAAACCAAAAGCCACCAAAAGCTAGCCACAGCTAGAAATAATATTTTGTATAATTAAATAATTTTATTGAATGGTATTTATTACTATATGTTATTATCGATTCATAAGAATTTATATTACTTCTTAAGGTCTATTGAAGATCTAGAGGAATTCGCCTTTACTCAAATTTTGGATTGAAAAAGTGGTGTCTGCTCGCATGGGTGTTTTTTTACATCATCTAGAGAGCAAGTGTTATGATTAACAAAAAAACTTAACTATTTACGTCCTAGATAATGTGTGAATTAAATCCATACTGCAACGGCCACCTTGTTGTCAAACAATGTCTCATTAATTTATTTGTTAGTTTAAATGTTTAGAAATCTTTTGCTCTCCATTATTTCAATAAAGTAAACATTTGGAGAATTGATTGGGCACGTAAAACAACATCTACCTATTAGAAAATAGAATTAAGTTTCATACTATTGAGACATATCACGAAGAGCATCATTAGAAATTCTTACCGTGACATGTTTATCAATTGCTTGGCGAATAAATTCCAATTTTAATCACACATAAAACAGTCGATTTAAGGACCTCATCCTTTTTTAAGGCAACTAGCTTTTAAAATTTGACTGCACGGATGGCGTAGTGGTTTAAGCGGTCGCCACGCCACTTACTACTACGCTGAGTGTTGTGGAACGTCCCTCATGGGACGACACTTTGTGTGATCCACAAATTGTTGTTCTGAGTTTGGGTGTTCTTTGTGTACGTTTCATGTATGTTTCTAAAGTCCCCCGCGACTCAGGATATATTCCTAATGCGATTGACTTTATATAACAAAAGATAAAAACTAACCTTGATTTGACTTGACTTTTTTGACTCTCAGTAATAAATACCATTTGTTACACATATTTTTTGGAATTCACTTGAAACTGACTTCCTACGGAAGCAAATCTAATATGATAGAATTAAAATGAAACTGTGCGTGTATGTAGTTAAAATGACAATGCTTTAATTAATCGTCGTGGACCTGATTTGAAGATGGAGCCATGAGATAGACAGTGAAAGTTTTGACAGGCTACTAATAAACCTTTGAGAGTTTGAGAACATTTGAAGAGTCATTGGACTTGCTAACGATGGTCTAATGATTGGTCTCACACATGGCAGTCTGATACCAAACAAAGCAGAGCCTTTCTTAATAACTGTAACAAATGTAAGATAAAAATAGTTCGCTCCTTTTAATTTATATTTTGAGTTTTAAACGTGATTATAGTTATACTAACAAGCATAAAATGTAAGGGATGAGAGAAAATTAACTCCTGTAATCCAATAATTAGATAAGGCCTTTGATATATATCTAATGTCAGACTTCATCGTGTTCTGAATGTTAAAGAATACATTTTAACATAACATCAATCCGTTCGTGTTGCCACATAAATTTACTAGTTTTTATGACAATGAATATTGTTGTAAAACTATGTCGTACTGTCCTATAATAGCATTTACGTAATACGTGATAGGAGTATAGTAAAGCTATATTTTTTATTAAAGCATTTTAAATATATCGCTTTCAGTCTTTTAAAATCTTTATATAACTTACTTTTTAATTTTGACAAAATGGGTACATTATAGTTTTTATCTTCTCAAACTTTCTTCCCCCTTTAAATTGTTTGTTAAATATTTATTAATATTTTATTGTACGATTACCATAAGTATAGATACCATTTCTGTTTGTTTGTTTCTGTTTTTCTCTCTATTACTTGTAATGTGTGTATAGAAGTCCCTCTAGCATTTTTTGGGGTTGAAACTTTCATGGAACCAATTACCCATTGAGGATTATTGGAATCTGTCGATGATTCGAAGAGTGCTAGGGATACCGCCACCTCATATTACTGGGTGAACTTGGATGATTAAAAAAAAACAAAAAGAACGCCTAAAGACGCGCACACCGGGGCTAATGGTCCCATGTAAGTTTACGGGAGACAATTCTCCAGTGAACCCCCAGTCACCACGGCTTTATCATTTCAATTTTTCTTTTTATGAAAGAATTCAATTATACAGCTACACTGATTTTGGCTAAGCGGAGTAACTCAGATCAGCAACTTTATACTATAAAAGATTTTAATACCTTAAGAATTACATCTAGGAGGATATTTTATTTGCTATGGTATAGGTTATTTTTTCAATACGAGAACTAAATTAATATACACATCGCACCTTTAAAGACAAACCGTTTCTAAACGAAAATATACAATTTTACACAGGAGCTAAAATAAGAAAAATGCAGGACCTTTTTGCAATAGCATTTAAGATCATGGTGGTTTGAGCCATTCTTTATGGTCATAATGATGGATATTTATTTACACTATAACATTAAATTCAGAAAAGCTATTTTTTTTTAATAGAACATTGTTAATTACGATTTTAAAATTTTATAGTAACACTTTTCCATTATTTTTTTTTCAATTATGATTTATTGAATTATTGTAAAATCCCCATATAAATTATGTAACAAAATATTTAAAAAAATTGAAAACCGATTATAATAATGATTTTACAATACTACTAAATTGAAAATTGTAACTGAACAGATAAATAAAATAACACATTCTAATCAATGTTTTATTCTCATTTAAAACGCGAGATCCATACATTTCTTTGACATTATGGCACTTAAATCTTTAGCATTGCTAGGATGTCTTAATAATCAGTCTTTATTCAGTATCTAGTTTTAAACCACAGCAAGTTGTCACTAAACTTCCGTCAAACTTCCGTCATCACTCTTTAACAAACAATTCACAATTAGTATAGACACGATATTGCATTTACGAAGCAAATCTTATTTAGTTTTGTAACGGTCAAAACCGACGCCATCTATGTCTAAAATTGGATTTTTTTTAACAGTGTCAAACTCATCGTATAGTTTACGTAGTTTTAAGAAAGATGGTATTAATAACTCAATTCTGCAAAAATTTCGTTTAGTAACGGTTTGTCTTTAAAGGTGCGACATAACATAACACTTGCATAAAACGTTACGTGGCAAATGGAGTCCCGCAAGGCAATTTACAAGGCCCGCTATTTATTATGTAGGTACGTTCTTAAACGATATGTAAATACAACGACAGCCCCCTATTTGTTTCCTCCCTCCCCTCGGACCCAACGATAGTTATGTCGGACTCGAACCGACTCCGTCTCGGGACCCAGTAGCCGGGGATCCAGGTGTACCCTAGGAAGGAAATTTCTGAGAGCTACTAACATATGTAAATAGTTTAACATAGCAGTGGATCCTAATTCTAAATTAAACTGTAATTTGCTATCAAATAGGCAAATACCATTTTTTATTGACTATTCATTACTTTAGGTGGCTAATTTATCCTCCGAGACTTTAGCCTTGGAGAGGTTGGGGTCTGATTTAAGGCTTTAAGTTTACTATGATTTGGTTGAACTTCGATTTTTTACGCAGAGTGACTGCCATCAGACCTCCACAACCCAAGGACTAGGCCATATCGAAGTTCTGTAGAAAGACTTGTCGGAGTTTTAGGGCTCCGACTACCCGTGGGACCGACGCTTCACGTGCTCTCCGAGGTACGGAGTGCTCTCAATGTGTTAAGAATGGTCACCCATCCATAGACTGACCTGGATACGGTTTCTTAACTTTGCAATGTGTTAATCTACTCGGTTACCACTTAACCACTAGCCCCTAACGAACCGAGAATTTAGGTGGCTAATATTAGAAATAATATTGATTTGACGACTGGATGGCGTAGTGGTTTGTGTAACGGACTGCTATTCCATAGGTCGCGAGTTCGATTCCCGCTCAAGTCAAGCATTTGTGTGCATGAACATTTAATGTTTGATTTGGTCTGGGTGTTTCTATGTATAATAAGTATGTATTTACAAAAAAAAAAAGTATATACGAGTATGTATTTATATCAGTTGTCTAGTACCCATAGTACAAGCTCTGCTTAGTTTGGGACTAGATGGCGTTGTGTGTATGTAAAAAAAATAATCAACAGGCTCGTTAGATAGTTGCGGTTTATTGATTCTTCATATTTCGTTTGCCATAAGTTCTTAAATAAATCTAGATTTGACTAAACAGCTCCTATTTTAAAATTATGAATTTTAGTTTTCAGCACATAGAAACTAAAAGAGATACTCAATCTGTTTATAAATGTATGGTCAAAATCCTTTAATAGTCCACTGATGGACATAGGCCTCTCTTTAGAGAGGAGGTTTTGGCCTACTGTACCACGCTGGCCAGACGGGTACGTATAGGGTTTGTGTCAAGTTTTACGTCTCTTCTCAATGCTGGTGTCCTGCGTAGTATGCTCCCATAGGCGGCTGTTACGACACGCGCAGGATGAATAGGGGTGGCGACGTACTCTTAATCCACACGGAAGAGTAAATAAATAAATGTATATTATAATATAAACAATAGTGTAAGTGCATTTATTTTTGATAATAATTATGATGATTAATCAGAAATTGATTTTAATTTTCTATATATATATTTTTATATAGTATTATATGTCAAAAATAAATAACGAAGGTATTACAAGCATACCTTTGTTGATATTCTAAACA